AGCTCCCGCCCCCTGTTTTTTGTTTTTTCTTTTTTTTTTTTTTTTTTTTCTTGAGCGTTTTTTGCTATAGGGCACATGCGCTCGCCCGAAAGAGAGAGAAAGACAGAGAGACAGAAAGCGAGAAATCACCCCCCAGGGGGGATGGCCACGCTGCAATCTCTTCTCCTCCATTCTCCTCTCGGGATCTTGGGCACGCACGCACACACGCCCGGCATGAGTTTAAGCCACCGGGTCTGGGACTTGAACCGCGATCAACTACATGAGAGTCCAGCAACATAGCCATTATGCCAACTGCTGGTCCCAACATTCAGTGTTTTAAACATTTTATTGCTGCAAAATGAAACATGTGTGTGGTGCAAAATTAGATATACAAAGTAAAATCGAAAGCAAAATAATCCAAAATAAAGACATAAAAATGTGTCATCCTCACCACCCATAGGTCACTGAAATGAGTGTGTGTGTATCTGTTAGGTGACGGGGTCGGGAGGAACATCCTGTTTTATAACCTGCTGTTTTAGCCAGCTGTGCTATTTTTCCACTTCCATCTATTGTAAGCTCTTCTGATCCTAGACCACATTCAGCTTTCTCAGTTGATCGCAAACTGTTCTTTATACCCAGTTCACCCAAACCACATGTGCATGCAAGAGAGAAAGAGACGTATTCCCCCACAGGGTCTCATCACAGCATGACTCCAGTCTTCCAGCCCTCTGGCCTTTCAGAATCTTGGGTGTCAGTACACATGCACGTGCTGTCAAGCTGACCTTGGGATCTGAACTCGGGGTGGCCCATATGGCTTCCAGCACTGTAGCTCATTTTACTGCATCACCAGGCCGGGCCGCCATTGCTTCTTGACTTTCACTTTTTCCTTCTGAGTTCACCCTTTAATATGTTCTTTCACTGAGGGTCTTTGGGTGGTAAAGTCATTTAGACTTTGTGTTCTAAAGATGCCTTTATGTCACCCCTACTATTTTTTTCGTTCTTTGAGAAATTTTTGCTATAAGGCATGTGCTCACCACAGAGACAGAGAGACAGAAAATGAGAAATTACCCCCCAGGGGGGATGGCCACGCTGCAGTCCCTTCTCCTCCATTCTCCTCTCGGGATCTTGGACATGCATTCACATGCACCTGGTGTGAGTTTAAGCCACCGGGTCCGGGACTTGAACTGCGGTTGACTATGTGGGAGTCCAGCGACATAGCCATTACGCTATCTCCTGGTTCCGGCCCCTCTGTTTTGTTGGGCACTACCAGAGGGCATGTGTGCTTACCAGATAGAGACAGAGAGAGAGGGAGAGAGAGGAGCAAACACCGTCCTAATGAGTGCAGCCACTTCTGCAACACCCTCTTCGTTCTCTCTCTTCCTCCCCATGGGAACCCAACAGTTTGGCTTTTAAACCAAGTTACTGTGATCCATCTTCCCTTGGGGGAGATTTTTTTAAGAGTTATTTTTTTTTAACTTTATTTATTTTAATTTGACCAGAGAGGGACAGAATGGGAGCACGCATGAGAGAGAGAGAGGGAAAGTGAGAAAGCAAGCTGCCAGGACCAGGACTCGAACCACCCTCGGCCATGTGGCAGTTCAGTGCCCTTAACCACCATGCCACCAGCCGGCTCTCCCACCCTTGGGGGGATTTCTAAAAGACCACGCCTTCCCCGCCAGTGGAAACTAGATTTCCTCCTGGCAGGTGGGAGGCACCCGTGTCCATGGGGACTCCTATGCTGTTGCGCGGTCCGGCACCCCCAACACCTCCTGCAGATTTCCCACGCCCGTGAGTCCACTGAGAGTCGGGCGTCCAACTTCCCGCCCTCCCTCCGTACATTCTGTTTCCCTCTAAGACACGCCCAGCTGGGCTCCTCCTCTCCTCCCCATCGCTGTCGCCGTCCTTGCCCAGGTCAGCATCACCGACCCGGGTCCCCGACCCTCGCGTCCAGGAAGGGAGGTCCCCTCTCCAGCCTGCAGTCCCACCTCGGCGGCCAGGCCGTGTGCAGCCGCTGGAGGGCGCTCTGGGTCTGTGCTTCTGATCGTACCGCCTGCTCCACCGGCTTAAATCATCCGGGGTCTGTGGTGGATGGGGGGGTGCTGTTCTCCTTCCTTGCTGAGGTCTAAGGGTGCCGGTGCGCCCCAGCCCTGGCCCTCCCAGCCTCCTGCCCTCCCAGCGCCCCCAGGGGCAGGGCTTTCTTCCAGACCTCCCAGCGCAGGAGCTTTGCACCTACCGTTCCTTCTGCTGAAGACGCTTTTCCCCCCGGCTGCTGCTTGCTCAGTCATTCAGACCGCAGGTCCCCTGAGATCGGTGGATACTTCTGCCTGTCCCAGAGAGCAGGGGTGACTTCCCGCACCCCTCCCCTTCTAACACTACCGCAGCCTCTCGTTTCACTTTTTTTAAAAAGAAGTATTTTATTGGGAACAGCAGTTACTGTAATGGCTATGTTGCTGGACTCCCACGTAGTCGACTGGAGTTCGAGTCCCGGCCCTGGTGGTGCGGGCGTGCCCAAGGTCCCGAGAG